GTGACAGGACTTCTTTTACAAGTCGGAAATATTCTGCTGGCACTCCACGTAGTAATTCCCATGACCGACTTTCTGTTAACCTCGGCATTAATTGATAATTCAATGTTTTTCATCAATAAGCAGACACGAGGTTGTTAATATAGAATTTATTAGAACATGTGTCTGCTTATTGATGAAAAACATTGAATAGTGCGTTCGTTCCCCACTATAGACACCTGCGGTCCAGAGTTTTGCAAATACCTCAGCAACGTTGAGGTTGTACTTCGCTTAGTACCCTGCCGCGAAATTGTAGTAGGCAGAAAATAAAAGGTATAACATTGGGATTTGGAAATAGTTCCTCGTTTGAGATATAAAAAGCTGAAAAAAAATTAAGCATAGTTGGAGGTGACTGAATGCATATCTGGCCTTTACAATGACTCGAGGTGACCAACCGATGTATCGAGTCAGTGCTGCTATCTTCCCAAACAAGTCTGGTACCAACTTCCCCACCCCGGAGAGATGGAGGGCTACGTGAGCCCGAGGCGCAGGAATCGACCCCGTGTGTATTGCAGAGTGCCTTCGATCACTTCGCTATACGCGCCCGTTTTTAATAGAATAAAATAAAAATTAAAAAAAAGTTAAGTAAAAAAGATTGGAAAAAAATGAACATGGATGGACAGGATTTTATAAAAGGTATGATTTTAACTGGATACGGCGAACCAGAAAAACATCACTTTTTTAGACTGACCACTAGTTTGCAGGTTTCGAGATTTGATTCCCTCGTATGTGACAAACATGTGGTTCGCATGGTGTCCAAAAACACATGAGCACGATGAAATGCATCCTCCTGCAACCAATGACTGATTATTTCCAAGAACTTAGAAGTATGTGAAAAAGCACCACAGCATTGAAACAGGGAATCAATTTTCCAACATATGAAAATATCCCTAAATGAACATGAGACCATCACATACACTGGGAAGGTCAACTTTCCGTAGATGACGTGCGCCTTTACCAATCGTTCCAGAGTGAGCCAACTGATTTGCGTTTTTGTCGACTGACATAGACTGGATTGCATTCAAGAACGACTCTTCCTACATTCAGTGCGTTAAGAAAATCGCATGAGAGTTTCCATGAAAAAGTTGAAGAAATAGACGCATTACATCTCTTAAAAGAGGCATACCTGGATTTTCTGAATCTCTGCAAGTTTACTGGCACGTTCTACTGACTCGTGCTTCCAGGCAACGAGATCGTTGGAATCTCCGAATAATGCACTCGCGTCCTGAAGCTTGTTTCAAAGAACCCCGCTTTGAACAATTTGCGACAACCTTTTGAAAAAAAGGAGTGCCAGAAATAACATTTTTCAACATCTTTCCAAAAACAGTTTCTTGTAAAGTGGTTGAAGTCACTAGTTTTCGACATGATTAAGCTGAGATAAGTTTAATATAGAATTACTCTTTTTCGGCTAACGTTTCGGAGCCTTCGCCTTCTTCAGAACAGTGTTGATCTAACTCAATGGTCCATAGCTGTTCTTTTAGCGATATTACTGTTCGTCGTTATATCGAATCGAATCCAGTGGATGGAGCAACATCCGGTAGAGCGCCGACTCGGATCAACGCGGCTCTGAGCAACGTGATGGCGCCGAAGCATTAGCGGAACAAAATTTTCAAACCAACCTCATACTAGTTCAAACTTATATAAATTTGCTGCTTATTCCTGCCAAACTTTAAGGAAAGTCGGTTTTCAAACTATGATCGATCGATATTCAACAGACGCCATTTTGGATAATGCCCAACAGTGAACCTCACCTGAAGACAACTGGTCAGGAACGAAAGCAAAAAGAGCTTCTCGTAGCCTCGTAAAGAAGGATTAACTCGTTGATGAATAAAGCCAAATATGGCCCTACGATATTCTTCGAACACCGAAATCGCCGCATCTTGTTCTGAAAGCGCAACGGTATGTTCTGGAAGAGTTATGACTTCAGCGGACACTGCGATAGATCTAATGTAGCGCTGACCCCGGCACACCATTGAGAGTGCTATTCGCTGAAGTGCTGCTAATTGAAGTGTAAGTTTGTAGGCATGGCGAATTTGCATTTTTACCAATCGATGCTGGAAAATATGAATATTTCAGTATCATGTGGTGGTCGCTATGCTGAAATGTATAATTAATGGACCCTTGTTTGAACTAGTAGGCTAGAAAATAGCATTTGAGATTCTTCCCCTCGTTCTATCTATCTTTTTCAATAAGTGATATGCCCACCTACGCAGAATACAAAGAAGAAGATTCCAGCGTTAACCATTTTATTTACTGCCTTTTTCTTCTTAATGGCAGGGTATGTTGCGAAATATAACTCGTATGAAATGCTGAGATATTTGCAAAACACCGGACCGCAGGTGTATGCGGTGGGGAACGAACGCTCGCTGTTGTCCTTACCGGGGAGTAACGCGTTCACCACTACACCATGCCGGTCCTTCGTCTTGCTTGTCTCTCAGCTAGTTCTATCGATCATTTGCCATCAGATTGAAGATTCCAGCGTCAATAATTTATGCGGGCATGGTATTGTTTTGCATTCGTTTTATTACAGATTAATTTAATACGTGTTTCACCATTTGTATAATCTAGTTTCTTTCTCCTTTTAATGTTAGGCAGCAGAAATACACAAATATGTCGCAAAAGAATAAGGATAGTAACAATTAATAGCTATATAGGACCAATCGTGAGAATTACTGCAAATATACTACTTCAAACCTCCTAACGGTTTACCGCCTCATCATGGCTGGTAGGTGTGCCTCGTTGTCGGACTGCGACGTACAGCTGGGATACGTTCCTCGGCAAGGTCACCCAAACTGAGAAGAGTCCGGCGTTTCCATCAGGAAGCCCTGCTAAGAGTAAACCCATACCAAGATCCACTACCGTCCTGGTATAAAACTAGTCGCATGGTATAAAATCTCACTCTCATCCACAACGGTGGCCCCGTGGTGGTCACGATCTGGGCACACTTTGGCTAAACTGACCTCGGGACTCCACAGAACCATAATAGCTAAACCAGCAAAACTCCGAAAAAATGGAGTTTATTCTGGTGACCTCACAACCATTGAAGACAGACCATACAAGTATCAAAGTAAATGTATTACTTCAAAAGGACTATTATATCTCGTAGTAACTCCCATGCCCGACTTTCTGTTAACCTCGGCATTGACTGAATAATTTTTTATACTTCTGTTCAGCAAACACGAGGTGTTATTTTATTCCTTTATTTACGTACAAGCTGACGTTTCAGCGGATTTCGCCTTCCTCAGAGCCTGGAAAGGTCAAGTTGGCTGCAATCTACACGGCCAAACATCTCCATAACCAAACAGAGGAAATGCTGAACCAAAATCTCAATCACATTGAACACAGAGTCTTTGCACACTCACCGCTTCCTGTGAGTCTTCCGCTAAATATGTCACGTGGAGGCCAACTGCACGGAGTTCACACGGAATCGTATTGTGCCCATCTCATCAAAATAACAGGCTTATATACTGTCCAATATCACGCGTGATAGTGAGGCATTCCTCCTTGCGGTTCATTTTCGGATTCTTGGAATTAATCCAGAATGCCTCTAGAGTTTTGCGCGCTTGTGTTCTCGATTCTTGAGCGAGTATCGTAACCCCTATTTCAAAATCTTCTCCGTTATGTCTCTGCGCCTTATGCGAGCCTAATGGAGTATTTCGTTTACGTTTGCTGACTAGGTGTTCTTTTATACGTACGCAGAGTGGTCTAGCCGTTTCGCCAACGTATTCGTCCCCGCACGCTTTACAAGAGATGGATAGACTGTACCCGAACTCATGCAGTCATCGCCTCTACCATTGGGGCAAATTATGCAATATTGCGTTGCACACAGACGGTCGTATAGGCGGTTACGAACTAGCTGGCGTCTTAGACCTTGACCTTGTGACCGACGAGGACCGACTTGACTCGATTTTCCAGGCTCTGAGGAAGGCGAAGTCCGCCGAAACGTCAGCTTGTATGTAAATAAAGAAATAAAATAACACCTCGTGTTTGCTGAACAGAAGTAGAAAGAACTATTATATTTTCGAATATAAAAGTAGCTTTCCTACTCAACAACTTATGAATAAAAGGCTCTAAATTCCTATGAACTCTTGCAAAAATCTAAAACGATATAATGAAGCGATTTTTCCCACGTATGTTTCCAAGACGATTAAAAGTTGCAATCACTAGCAAAGAATGGAGTATTCCTTTACTTACCGGACCACTCTCTTTAACTTGATTCATACATGGCGCTGTGGCGTCAATCAAACGAGAAACTGCCAAAACCAGATCCAATACCACTTCAGCATGATCGTTCTTAAAACGGAAAAAGGAACTCAAAATGGAAGAACATTAGTAAAAAAGGAAGTGCGTGAAAAAGGAAGTGAACTACCTCGATGCTTTCTTCAGCGTCGCAAAGTACAACATAAAGTAGCGAAGTATAAAGTTCTCCAAGTGCAACATCAGGATAGAGCCTGAATAGTGAGCAATCCAAAGTACTGGCAACATGAAAACCAATATACTGGTGAGAAAAACTGGTCTGAAGTTCGACTTTTTGTAAACATCAGGATAATCGAATACTGATTGAATATCGGTATTACTCAACAGCTGATTTATTCAAAATCACGTTCTACATTTGATTCAATCTCATTAAGCAAATCATCAATCCTCTCATTGACTATCCAGTAATCCCAAAAATGGTGAGTGAAGTACTGCCATGTTTAGTTTTCGCTTTTGCCTACTCGAGGAAACGAATAGCATCAAAATCCTTTCCTTAGTCCTCGTCAGGCGTACAGGATCTCCAGAGATATGTAGAGGTCAGGAAAGCCGCTCAGACTACGGGGGAGGCTCGTAGTTGCACACCCTCCCTCCATCAAGTGAAAGATGATTTTTAAGCTGCTTGAGCCTCTCGCTTCCATCTTCTCAGCTCGATAGTAGTTAATCATATCGAACTCTAAACCTCAAAAACTTGAAGACGTTCTTCCCATTAAGCATGAATAGAACAATTAGTTGCGGGTCATTAATACCCGCCCATATTTTCACACTCTATTTCTCGCACGACAATATCGAAAGTGAAGCTGGACATTATGACGCGAGGGTATGACACTGTCAAATCGTTTGCACAACAGCATAACCGGTGACTGTGCAGTTACAAACCATCACACTAAACCATTTTTTAAATTCTGATTGATTGTTCTAAAAAGTTTCCTTAAGTCCATAGAGATAGATAAAAAGAAAGAACATATGGTAATAGCAGAAAAACTTGGAGTTTTGGTTGTCTCTTCGGGAAGCAAAAATATTCTACAAAACCCATTATTTGTACTCCATATTTGTGTGAAATGTCCTACGCTGATTCTAGCTATTTTAGTCTATTTGCACTTTAGTTCTAACAACTGGGTCACGGCGCGAGTAGATCAATGGCAATGACGTTGTTTCATTCACGGAAAGTCTTGATTCGACTCCGGCACGAAGAATATCACGGAACAATATCTCCTCACTCCAGGGTTCAGGAACTGGTAACAGATTTGTTTAGGTAGTTACCTGAGAACCATAGGACGAAACGTCCTAGCAAGCCCATTCCAGGATTCCAAGGGTGAATTAGCTCGAGCAGCATTCAAATAGTTTCTCAGAATACATTCATAAAGAGACCAAAAAACTTCAAGCAGTAGCCGAACAGTTTTTAAAAAGTGAACCATCTCGAAAGAAAGCCTCACTAACATGCTATGAGTTAATAATATATGAATAAAACATGCTAAAATGACATATTCAAAACGATAGTCAGTAAATGAACCAAGCAATTATTCCAAACGAAGTTGGGATACCTTTTAGTGTAGGAATCATAAATTATTGATACCTGAAGTACTTCATATATAAAGAATCGTCTGCTGTCGTTTCCCATGTAAGAAGAACACGTAGATTGCTGAGAACACGAAGTACCGAACTTCTTCCTATGATTAGCTATCTCATTGTCCACAATGATTACGGAAGAATATTATGCTACACCTTACCTAACTTCTTTTCTTGATCAACGGTTCTCATGACGTTAACAAGAGAACTGTATGCAGACAACATCACATTTGGGTAGTATGGAACAACAGTAGAAAGCAACGCACACAGAGCAGAAAGCTACATAGCATTTAGTCACAAAACAATATTTACCAAAACGACAAGTACTAATGTCGATAAAGGAGAAAAGGAAAAAGCTTTCGGCGTTGATTAATCTCTGAGGGACGCGCTATGCATTCAACTTCATTAAGCATCACTGAAGATGGTTGAATGCATATCTGACCTTTACAATGATTCGCGGTGGCCTATATCGAGCCAGTGTTGCTATCCTCCTAGACAAGCCTGGTACCAATTTGCCGACCCCGGAGGGTTGGAGGGTGGTGAGCCTTCGGCACGGAGATCGATCCCATGTGTGTTGCAGAGCTCATCCGACTACTGCGCTACATGCGCCCATGAATATTAATAAAGGAAAAAATGTCATCATAGATCGGGCAATAACCCAACGTTACACAAAACGGTACTCACACACTGTTCTGCATGACATCCTACAATGAATCGACATATGATCTCACCAGACTTTTCTTCACCATAACTGATAGAAACTGCATGGAGATATCTAACAATACAACCGGCCCTAGAAGTAAATACGATATAAAATTTAAGAATAAAGTTGACGAGTATATTCTCTGAGTAGTAACTAACCAAGAAGGGCTGGAAATGGCGGCATCTATGATAAACTGCAATCTCTTTCCAACAGAAAACCCAGCTATAGGTGGATAATCAACGATGGATAGGTTTTGTTTGGAATGAGCCATTCGAACAATGAGATTTACAATCTCATCCTGGAAACTTTGACAAATAAGCTTACAAAAATAGAAAAGATATGGAAACTCACCACAACGATTATTATTTTCTCCTTTATTGCACGACATACCCCAGGATCTTGGTGCTCAAACTCTAAATCACTTCAGGCCTTAATCGTGCAGGACGATTCGGTCATAAAACGAACACTTACGACTAAAAATAAGAGGATCAAGCGCCATCTGCATGACACACGAGAACACTACTGATAGCGAATGCGTATCCAGAGCTCGTATCATCTGCTTGGTGAATTCCATATAGGAAATCGTCGACAACACAAGCCGTTGATCAACCGACATCAACTGACGAATACCACGGAAAAAATTGGCAGGCGTGGCTGTAACGGTAGAAAGTAAAGGCTGCTCATATTGCCCGTGGTGCCCCTACAGAGAAAAATATTGACCTGCATCAGCATTCTGGGTGATAAGAAATCTTAGGGTATCAACAGAACATGTCACGAGTTTAAAGAAAAAGACAAAGTTCAAATTCTCAAAAGTGCCATCCTTTGGGTTACTGTCTAGGCTGTCCTGAAATAGCTATTTCTATGGCGACAATAAATAAAACATTAAAAAGGATTAAAAAAAGAATAAAGCCCAACTATAATAACAGGATTAAGCTCTTGGCGTTGATCAATCACTGAAGGATGCGTCATGCATTTGACTTCGTTGAGCATCGTTTAGAGAAGATTGAATGCATATTTGGCCCTTGCAATGACTCGCGGTGGTCTACCGTTGTATCGAGCCAGTGCTGCTATCCTCTCAGACAAATCTGGTACCAATTTGCCGATCCGTGAGGGATAAAGAGCACGGTGAACCAAGGCGTTGGGATCGATCTCATGTTTGTTGCAGGGCGCCTACGACCACTGCGCTACACGTGCCCATAAAACAAATCAGAATATTACACCTGCCTTAATCATTCGAGATACGACCTTCTCTAGTTCAGCGTTATTGCGCCTTGTAAGGAAATTGAAAACATCGGATAACGAATTGAATTTCACATTATAATCGTCATGTATACTAGCAATAATCGCAGGAGAAACCTAAACAGCAACGATTAAAAAAGGGTTACATAGTGGCTCTTAACGAGAAGAAAGACTGGCCTGATGTTTTTCTTTCAGCTTGATGTCTTCCACATACGCTTTAAATTGATCAGCTCCAACAGTTAAGAGATGGTCAACAATGGAACCCGGAAACGTGATGCTAAATTTGCAAAGTATAAAGTGATACCCACATAGACAAACTATTACAAGAGATTTCATAGCCAAAAAAACGTTTAGTTACGGTATCTGCCGCCAAGAATCATATTCATCGCTAGTTAAAATATACGAACATCCTAAATTTTCTCCGCACTATATTGGCAAGCTACATATGATCAATGAAGTAGAAAAACTCATATTTGTACTTCATAGCCAATAAGACCTAGACAAGACCTTAATAGACCTAGTTCAGCTCAGCTCCCACTTTTCTTGCTTGGATTTCAACCTTCCTCAATATTAACACAACCCCGACGATGTTAGTTCATAGGTAAAAAAAAAGATAAAGGTCTCAGCTTTGATCAATCCTTGAGGGATGTGCCATGCATTCAACCTCATTAAGCATCGCTGAGGGTGACGGTATGCATATCTCGCCTTTACAATGACTCCCTGTGCCCTACCAATGTATCGAGCCAGTGCTTCTATCCTCCCAGACAAATCTGGTATCAATTTGCCGACCCCGGAGAGATGGAGGACTTGATGAACCTGGGGCGCGGGGATTGGTCGTATGTGTTTTGCAGGGGATTTCCAACTACTGCGGTACACGCGTCTTTATACAAGGTTTAAAGATAACTGCTAATAATTCTCCGATAACTAGAGTAACCACAGGTTTGGGGAATTAATAAAACAGACTGTCCTATTCCTGCGAGAATACTTACCAAGATTCTACGGAAATATTTTTGTTAAATTTGTCCAAACTTTAAATTTCCAAAAGGGAACCGAAGGAAATTTAAATGTTTAGAAATTTTGATTGAAGCGTGGAAGCTGCAGATACCAGTAGTGCATTTGGGAACATCTCTAGGTCTGGCCAAAAACGACTTGCAAACATCAGAAAATTAGGATTTATCGCCATAGAATAAGTAAACTTGTACTTTCTGACCAAAGATGTGTATACAATCGTTTTCATTCCAACCAATTAAGGTCATTATGATACGACGGACGTCAGTTTAGAGTTGAAACCAATGCATATCGGCACGAAAGTGTTAGTCACTATATGCAGTTATTGAAACGATCCGAAAGTCGATTATAGGATCCACAAACTCCCTATAGCGTCCATTCACCTAATCATAATCTTCCTATCGAAGGTCTTCTCTTTTGTAATTTTAGATTACCACGACGATCTAAAAATGGCGGATTGCAGTTCTGTAATGTGTTATAAAATTAAACCTCCCAACAGTTTACTGCCTCATCGTAGCAGGGAGGTATTCCTGATGGGCTGCAATATAAAGCAGGGACTCATCTTTCCAGCAGGGCCTCCCAAGATGAGAAGGAATCCGGCGTTTCTACCACGAAACCCAGATAAGAGTACACCAATAACAGGATCAACCACCGTCCTGCTACCAAACTAATCGCATGGTGGGAAATCTTCCTCCAATCCACAAAGGCTGCGACTACTTGTGGTGGTGACAACCTGTGGCAGACTTTGGCCAGGTTGACCTTAGGACTCCAGAGAACCACGTGGCTGAACCAGTAAAACTACGAAAAAGTTGGAATTTTGCTGGGAGCGCAGAAGTTTTGTAACCAGTGAAGACGGGCCACCTATGTAAGTAAGTGCAAGTAATCACAATGTTAACTTTTTATTTGCTGCCTACTACAATTTTTTATTAGGGTAATATGTGAAATACAACCACAACGGTGATCCGATAATTGCAAAACCCCGGATCGCAGGTGTCTGCGGTGGAGAACGAACGCTCTATTACCTTTCCGGAGGCTAACGCGTCCACCACCACACGACGCTCGTCCTTCTTTTCGCCTGTTAGTCCAAGTAAGTTATAAAATTAACACTTTGTTTTGCAGGAGATCATGTCATCATTTTAAATAAGTAGGCAAACTGTAACATAAGGTAATAATGTAATATGTAAAAAAGTTTTTAAACCTGACCAAAGAGGTGGTCAAGAAAAGAACATGAAAAAACCTACGCAATATGAAGCCAAATCCAATTGAAATGGGTCCCGTGTCGAGAAGCGTCGAACAAAACGGTCATGCATTCATCAGGACAGTTCGCAAGTCTTGAAGAGCAAATTGTTCGTTAATGAAAAAAACTAATAACTGGTTAATGAACGAAACACTAACAGGATCGTAATCGTAATATCGATAAGTTTGATGAGGTGAGCTATTGAGCCAACCATTTTAAAGAGCTCAAGTAGCGACTCGGGACTCCGAGGAAGGTTTATCACACTTAGTCGACCTGCGTTATGTTGACTGAGCTCGGAAGAAATGCTGCAGCACCACTGAAAAATATGGAAAATTCCCAGCTTTGACAATCTTACACGGTCCATGAATATCAATGCGATTGTCATAGGCAAAATTTTGGTAATGTAGGAAACAACTATTAGGCAGCATCCTTCGAATAAGCGTAAGTAGTGCATGTATCGCAGTGGTCGAAGGCGCCCTGCAATTCACATGAGATCTATCCCCACGCTCCGATCTCATCAAGCCCTCGATCTTTCCGGTGTCGGCAAACTGACACCAGACTTCCCTAGGTCGAGAACAGCACTGGATCGATACAACGATAAGCCATCGAGAGTCACTGTAAAGGCCAGATGCGCATTCAAACACTTCCAAACCATGCTTAATGAAGTCGAATGCATGGCGCGTCCCCCAAGGATTGACCAACGCCGAGAGCTTTATGTTGCTAACAATTGTATTAATAATACAAAAGACCGACCTTCTATAAACCTCTGCATAGATATATTTATTTATATGACCTTACAAACTGATTTTCTTTAGCTGATGCGAGGTTGGTATAGGTCTTCGTTATCGTTGTCGTTGTTGTTGGTACAGTTAGTGGCTGGCTGAAGTTTCGGCGACTTCGCCTCCCTCAGAGCCGTGATGTTACGTGTGGGACAGCCATCGACCAACAACACCAACAACGACAAATCAATTTATAAGATCATATAAATGAATGTATTAATAATATAACTTCAACGATGCCGAGATATTTGCAAAACTCCGGACCGCAGGTATCTGCGGTCCGAAGTTTTGCAAATATCTCAACATCGTTGAAGTATTAACAATAGTTTCCAGACTGTACTACCCCATAAACCCGCTGGATATAAAGCGCTTGTTAATGTTTCAAGCCGGACATTATTTTCTTCTAAACAGTGAGACTAAGTGCATCCTAAGGTTTACTATCATCGACGAGAGTTTGCTACGATATACGAAAATATGCGAGTGGTCATTTCAGAGTTGCCAGTACTCATTGGATCCTAAATTGTTCCAAGTCGAATTTACGTCAGTCTCCCTGCAAGACTGACCTTACACAGTACTAATTAAAAACGGTATAGGACACAGATCCGATCCCATGAAATAGCCTTAATCCAGCATTAAGTACTTGAACTAAGCATGGTCACTCTTCACCTTTAAAGCGTACATTGCATTCGTGGAAAAACTGTTTCACTGTCAAGCTGGTAAAGTTAACAGGTATGCCAAAGAAGAATCTGTGTCGGCTTGTTCCATCATGTTGGAGCGGTCGGTTGAATTTTCACTCCTTTATTTCCATGTTCCGATTCGGCTCATTATATCGTATGTAATCAGATGTCCGGATGACTAGTCGAAAAGCAGCTACCATAAAGTAGGACTTAAGTACCTCTTCCACGTGCACCGCTGAAAAGTAAGAGAACGTCTCAATGAACGTTGTTTAAACTTTGCTTAGAAGGGTGTTGGTGTACAACGAATGTTCAAAGCAAATCTCACCGAAAGCACATCGATTACAGTTTGTTTAGAGAAAGGAGTCGAAATAAAGTCCTCCACCATTTTCATTAAAGTAATAGCGGCATTTTCTACTGAGCTGTAGTCTACACCTGTAGTATTAGAACGTAATGTATACTAGTTCCGAATAGATTGTTATGCACAAACCATATTGTGGATTTTCCTTTTCCGAAAAGTACTGGTGCGCATTTTCGTGGATAAGTAAACCGATATAACCCAAAACGGCATTCCTGGAACAATCACAACGAAGATTATGTAAGTTTTCCATTTACTGCTCATTTTTTTTTCATGGCAGGGTATGCTGTGAACTATAGCTACAATGGTGCTGAGATATTTGCAAAACTCCGAATCGCAGGTGTCTGTGGTGGGGATCGAACCCGATATTACCCTTCCGGCGGCTAACGTATTCACCACTACACTGTGCGTATTCTTCGTTTCATCTTTCTCTCACCAGTGTTTTATAGCGCTATCAGCAATCACCCGTCAACAGGATTGATCTGGAGAGCAGAAATCGGAACTGAACGCAGTTAAGCTGAAGCTGTAATATAAATTACAATGCAACCTTTTTTTACTGTCTACTTTTTTCATGGCAGAGTATGACATGAGCTCCAGCCTAAATGGGTTCAATGCCGATTTGTGCTTTACAGATGAATCCTGTGGGCGGGTGATTGTTGATAACATCTATGAAAGACGCCTGAAAGGCGAAACGAAAGACCAGCATGGTGTAGTGGTGAACACGTCAGACCCCAGAAAAGGTAATATCGGGTTCAATCCCCAACACAGACATCTGCGGTCCGGAGTTTTGCAAATGTCTCGGCATCATTGAAGATTAACATACGTTACAAGACGAGGAAAGAGAATGATAGAACACAGCAAGTCGTAAGTGGTACTTCACCTCGCAGATGGTATTTCAGTGTAAGCATCGGATGCAGGTGAAATCAGATCGGTCGCTGGCAAGCTCACCCAGATCGGTCGCCGGTACACTGAAACTGTGTCTCCCATAGTGGCAAGCGTCATGAAGGCATCGCAGACACCTCCGCGTTTCCGATACCTCTGGAACGAACTGCGTCATCCGAGGATAAGAAGGGGTGGCCCATATTTCAGGAGATCTAATAGTAAAAAGTAACTGGACCACTCCTGGTGTGCGTAGAAGTGTAGGAATAAATGTTTACGAAATATTTGTAATTGTATTGGATAATCTGTAATTGTAAAGGATAATCTCCTTATAACCCCAATAAGATCCACAATTTCACTACGAAGATTTCTTCGCGTAAGTCATCCACAATGTGTCAGTCTCCTACCTCACACCACTGGGGACTCCTGTAGGCCTTTCGCTGATGTTCACTGTGAACAGCAACACGAATACCGGGAAGATCACCAGCCACTACTTCCTCTTCTACATGTTCTGGCTGAAAAAGGAAAGGTTGATTTGATCTATGTGATAACAGGACGATGTTAATCGTACTTCTATTCACCTCTACAAATCCTGAGACGACAGGTGTATTCGAAGAACTTCCCGGACCCTCGCAACCTGGAGACGCGGGTGATTCCAGATCCATACCACCTTTAAGAGTCTATGAAATGACGACAACGCTTTAAAGCCAAATCCTTTACAACGGACAAAAACAGAGCTGCAAAACTCCATCGGCTAAACTCCACAAAACCGCGCCCTAATTTTGCAGAAATCTAGCTGGTGCAAATGTGGGACCCACAGCGATTGCGTGCACTACGGTTCTATGTATAATATTTTGAGCATACTACCGATTGGGTGGATGCTTTTGCTTTAGCGGTTGCAATGGAGACCATTTTGCCTTACTGTTTTTTGAATTTGTGTATTGTTGAGGTTTTTTCCAACCATTAGCAGGGGCTGGAAACCGTAACTCCACTAGCGGTTGGAAATATGTGAGGGAAATTTGGATGTTTAGCTTTTTATTTATTATCTGCCCATTATTTTTAAATTTTTGCGATAAAACCGCAGCGACGCTGAGATCTTTGGAAAACTCTCGACTGTAGGTGTCTACGGTGGGGTTCGAACTCGCTGTTACCCTTTCCGGGACCTGAGGTGTTCGCCACCACACCGTGCAAGTCCTTCGTTTCGCCTTTCTCTCAGCTAGTTTTCTACCTGTTTTTTCTCTCTACCTTTAGAGTTTTTAACATGTTCATATTGTTATCTACTCTAGGCATTTTGAAACTACATTTAACTCAGTCGTTCGCAGCGGGCTAGATTCTACCCAGCGTTTATCTTTTTCGAGGGCCCACGGGCCGTCCAACCCGCCAACCTCGTCCTTTGCTTTACCTTTCGCTGAGCCAGTTTTTTACTCTGACGAAGCCATCAGCAATTACCCATCTATTTGAATGTTTTTGCCATATGTCTTTAACGTTTTTTGTTCTTCTAGACTTTTAGAAGTTATCATTGATGTACAGACTTCTTGTTGGCGAACATATTTTGCTTACAGTCCCATTTAGTGCTAATGCTTGGTGTTAGAACCCTTGGATTTGCGCGTGTGCAAATTCGTTCTGCGACATCTTTTCAGAAGACTCCCACGAGTGCTGGCAAGGTGTTGTACCTACTTTTAAATATGAATGTTAAGAACGTAGGAAATTAAGAACACTCCAGAAGTTATATATTTCAGTTAGAAAGTTGTTAAGTCAGGATGGGCATGAGGTCTACCGTAGAGAATAGATCAAGTAAAGGGGTGAGATTAGGGTTTGTGCATCATTACATAGCCAGTATATACTTATACAATATCTCCTGAAATGTACTGTGACCTGGATCATTTCTGTTCTTTTTCAGGTCCCTCCAACACTTGAAGAATTCGACCCATTGAACCCTGGCGAATGGCAACTTGGAGTAAGTGTTTTCCTTATGTTTTGGTGAATTTTGTACAGAACTGTATACTCACCTGTCTGATTATTGAAGTTGGTGAGATGTTACTGCCTATATTCTTTTTTCTTTGCAACCCTTTGTTGCAATTGCATGTCTAAGATAAATGTAACGTCCGTTCGACATCTAACGATAATAACAGCAGTATTCTTGCTTTATGGTCTTAATCTCGCTTAGGATTAGTCGTAGGTGTATTTTATTCTCTTACCAAAAATAAGGATGTATTCCATATGCTGCGAAATAGTACGCAATTACACATACTTGGAGGTTTATGTGATCGTATATTCATAAACTACAGCGCGTGTGGCGCAGTGGTCGGAGACACCCTGCAATACGCATGGGATCCACTGGCTAGCACCACTGGCTCGATACATCGGTAGGCCACCACGAGTCATTGCAAAGGCCAGATATGCATCTGATCACCTTCAAATAATGCTTAATGAAGTCAAATCATGGCGCATCCCGCAGACCTTGATTAACGCCGAGAACTCTGGCTTCTATATCCATAACTGGGATTTTTTTTCTTCTTAATGAGCCACTGACAATGTTTACGGTTCTTTATCCACACAATCTAGTGGAGCTACTGCATGGAGTAAAGACTATAATTGAGATTTTCTTTGGTGTGGTTAGGTTTTTGTCCATTTACCCTTTCGCCGTAAAAAAAATTGGGACATTTTTGAGTGGTCAGAAGTCCTTCGGTATTTTCTTTTATTTTTGAAATACTTGCAGTTTCATGGGTCTGCACAGCACGAGTTTGCGAACTGTCTCGCGACGACTGTATGTTACATGCATACTCACAGCTCTGAAAGGAGCTGTCCAATTTATATATATATATATGTACATATGAAGAGTACGTTAGTTGCAAATGATGACCATGTAGCTAAACCACTATTTCGTAAGGTTTCCCGAACATTATTGCAGTTCATACATCAAGGCTATTTTGCAAACGCAACGTTATAAACGGATGTGCGACAGTGGATTTGACGTTTTGACTTTAAATGAGCTTATCTTCAGTTTATTGATTTTTGTTAAATATAATAAGGAACGTGAAATTTGCAAATCTTTGTCGATAGGCTGCAAGTTTGTTTTTATATCAATATGAAATTCTGTCGTTCTCGAGCTCAAAAATTCAAACTTCAGAAATTTGGCTATAGACAGTAGTTCTACCTGATGAATTGCTTCTGGTAGTTCCTGGTTTCTCGTTCAGATTAGGAGTTCTAAGCTTCAGTTTTTTTTCCGTCTGTTTAAAATTTGATTTTAAAGAAAATCTAAAGCAGATACAGCAGTTGCGAAAAATTTTGTGTACACTTGCACTACATAGTCGATCTTCTCTTACTGCTATGGATAGTTGGAGTGAAGTTGAAAATTTATGGGCAAGGCCAGTTTATCTTCATTCAGCTGTACTGTCTATTCCTTTACACTAATTGGGAATTTGATCCCGATTTCACACTTGTTAGAGTATAAGTCGAAAAGCAAACTCATTTTTCCAATTCATACATTTATACATATGTATGCAAACAATGTAAAAAAAAGTATTGAATTTTTGACTTTATTAAATTTTTTAGGTTGGCGGTAAAATTCTTCCGCGCCTTCCGGAAGGAACAAGAGTGGGCAACCTTGTCATGGGGAAATATGGCTTGTATGATCCCGTGCTGAGGAAGAGGGTCGACACATTCTCGGCAAGTTCCGCTAGATGTATGTGCCATTTTCGCATTAATACAAAGGTTTTTCTTTCAGAAGGCGCTACTCGAGGGAAAGAAGTCTGAAGAGGCGGGTCCTTTCGATCGTGCAGCAACTAAAATAATGAAAGTGCTAGGTATGTCACAGCATATATCACCGAGTGTTAGATTCTATGTGATCGATTCAATTACAGCAACCATATGCTTCATTATGGGCATCTACAACCTGGTCACAATTACTTATGGGAAATTGCTCCCTCCGTATTCGTACCTTAAACCTCAGAAATCTTAGATTTGTCTACTACAAAGTTTAGAAATAAAGTTTTTGGCGTGTTTATTGTGCTTTTTGCAACAGGATATCCATGCCGTGTTAAGTTTGTGAAGTGAAACATTATAAAAACATTTATACATAAGTACGTTTTTATTTATTCATGGAAGGAAAGTGGAGTTTAGCATTGTTACCAAATCCTCTTTAGTGTTGAAGAGTTGGAGTTTGTTAAGCCTTCTATCTACGATAAACCGATAGAACTAGAGTGCAAGCTGTTGACAATTTAAATTGGCTGTTTGTCAATGTTGTTTGAATGGACGATGTCAGTCGGGAAAGAAGACAATGGGTGTGAGTTCGCAGTCGAGGCCAAGGCTGTTGAACCTCTGAAAATCGTTCCGTCCTATTTGGCCAGACATGCGCTGTCTAGTGAATTGTAAGGTTTTGTACATTTACTGAAGTTGTAGATGACCACTCATCGAACAGAATGTTCCAGTGCGCGAGTGTGTCGGGAACCTATTGATGGAATGTACGTCGTTCCAAGTGCCAATGATCAGTTCAGTAAGTTTGTTGGTTTCTGTTGTTTAAGAATGACTGATGCGAATAGTTGACGAAAAGAAGCGCAGTGTTACGACCTTGCAGCCTGGTTTGGTCTTCTGTTCATACGTCGTGGAATATTTGGTGGTGGCATATTTCGCTTCAGTATACGGATGGCAAGAGGATTTCCGAACACAACATATCTTCCAGTAGGTGTTTTGCAGTTGATTTGATGTCTCAATGTTCTTTTGAGTAGCTGTTGTACATATTGTCTATTTACCACAACTTAGCACGATTTTAGTCCTAAGCTTGTATTTAGAGAGTCTTCATAAATATGCTGGGTTCATGGCATTTATGTGCTAAAAAACCATGGCGAAGTGGTGTCTCTATTTTGTAGCATAGATAAGTACCTTTGGTGCTTTCAGTGATACCCATACTTTCAAAGATCCCTGACAATGAGAGTTCGTTTTTAGTCTAATTCTCCAGTTTTTTGGTAATCGTGGTGCCGCATCCATTAAGCTGTGATGCATCGGTTGCTAAAAATCCAGTAAAAAGAAAATATAAGATGTTTCTACAGTGTGTCTTCGTTTTAGTACTTGGAGATCAGCGCCTAAATCAGTGCGGCTAACGCATCTCTTTGATGCTAATTTTTCGGTGCACTCGCTGTGAGTTTATATCAACCATGCCGGTAATTAGGGCAGTTGAGGTGAACGCAGTGGTGGGTGGCTCCCTGCAATACACACACATTGGATCGATCCTCGCGCCCCAAGGCCACCAAGCTCTCCATCCCTTCGGATTGGTAAAATTTGGTACCGGGCTTATCTGGGAGGGTAGCAGCACTGGCTCGAAACATCAGTAGGCCATCGCGAGTCATTGTAAAGGCCAGTTTCGCATTCAGTCACCTCCATCGATGCTTAGTGAAGTCGAATGCATGGTGCCCCTTCATGAATTGATCACCTGTGCGAGCTTATCCCTTCTAAGCAAATGGCTCCGCCATCTTCGTTTTGCTTTTTTTCCATTAATTATCTATATGGGTATTTTCGGTTTGTGTTTCTACATATCGTTTAAGTTCTATGTATTCCTCCCATGCTTTCATAACAATTCGACATTTTATATGTCCCAAAAAACACCCCCCTGATATGCATCTAGGTTCCTCTCAGCATTTGGTAGTCTTTCTCTTAACATATGAACTGTGTGCAGATAGATTCCAAGATCCTCTCTTTTTTAACCCTGGTATTGATTAATAATTCGCTGTTTTTCTTGATGAGCAAACAGTAAGTTGGCATTACAGAACTTGTTAACATACAATAACTGATGCTTCGGTGGTTTCGCTTTCCTCATAGTCTGTTATTTCCCTCCAAAGGCAATCGTCCAAATACGAGCACAAAAGGATTCCTTGGACACGTAGTGCTTCAGTTGAGCATACATGCCATCCTGTTTGCATTCTTCTTTCCTTTGCTATTCTCTTTACTTTGTTGTGCTGATTTTAATAACATTCACGTCAAATGTTTTATTGATTCACTGTTTTTCTCGATGCCAGTATTTTTATATGCACTGCGTATCTCTTATAAAGCTCTAAAGCTCTCGGCGTTGATCAATCCCTTAAGGATTCGCCATGCATTCGGCTTCACTAAACACCTTTTGGAGATGACTGAATGCATGTCTGGTTTGTACAATGACTTGCGGTGACCTACCGATGTATCGAGCCAGTGGTGCTATCTTACCAGATAAGTCTGGTACCAATTTGCTGACCTCTGAGGGATGGAAGGTTTGGTTAGCTAGGGGCGCGGGAATCGATCCCATCTGGATTGCAAGGCGCCTCCGAAGACATGCCACACGCGCCAACTGGATCCTTCATAGTGATTGGAAATGGAATAATAACCAATAATCGGTCAGAATTAATGTCAAGCTATAAGTTAGAATTAATATGCTGGCCATATGGTAGATAATATTGCTCTGCCAACAAGTGGCAGTAATTTTCTGGTAACGAAAGCGCGTGAGTGGTTGAGAACTTGACAAACTTGCTGAACAGTGTTTTCTGTATCAACCTACATATCCGTATTACTGTCCTAGTGTGTTGTTTTAATTTTAAATTTTATGTGAAATTCAAGTTTTTAGAAAATTCGTTGAAGAACGACTTCGAGATTTTAAAGTTTTGTAAGCAATTGCGGCAGCAGCAAACGGAGATATATTGCTGAACACAGAATTGTCCTGCTAGACTTAATTCAAAATATGAGCCTCAGTAGAAAAGTTACACTTTATGCAGTAATAACTGCGCTGATGGTTTGCATACTCCTACAGTTTCTTAAGGTCCTTACTACAATTCCTATAGCGCAATACGAGCTGAACAACGTTTGCTCAGAGTTAAAAAAGCCCCATTATTTACGGGCACGTAGGAACAGTACTGCGGAAACTGTGCCATTCGCCAAAAGAGTCTCTCACTCCTCAAATAGTTTCATCCAAATAACGGTTTTTGATAAATTATTAAGTGTTCGGAACAGATTCCTAAGTCCAGTGTCCTGCACAGTGGCCTACCGAAGAAGCCATAAATTGATTATGACAACTAAGACGAAAACTCTTTACGTGAAAACCAAACGACCGCAAGAAAAATGGTTAGTTACCTACTCACACCGGTCATTAAGTCGAACCACGGCTGGAAATCTGCTCACATTGATCTCCAAGTGTTAAGAGTTGTCGGGTAACCTAATTGTGTAGTAGTCACTTATCGAAATGGAAGAGGTATGGTAATATCTTCTACATTGATGAGATATAATTTACTCTTTCGTAACGAGGACTCGGACTTCTCAACGCGTATGTAGATGCTTGTTTTCTAGCAATGGGCCGCAGTGAAATATAATCATAATGATGTTGAAATATTCGCAAAACTGCAGGCCGCTGGGGTCTGCGGTGGAGATTGAGCACGCTATTACCCTTTCCGAGGGTTAACGCGTTCACCGCCACACCATGCGGGTCCTTCGTTTCTTCTTTCTATCAGCTAGTTATATCTATCTACCAGTGCCATCAGCGATCACCCGTTAACGGGATTGTTCTGGTGAGCCGAAATCAATGAACCCAGTTAAGCTGATCTCCACCTCAGACACCTGCGGTCCGGAGTTTTGCAAATATCTCAGCATCATTATGGTTGTATTACACATAGACTATAGTTTTCCGATAACTAGAAAATTTGACTGATGGAGAACACAGCAGAACGAGATTTTATTCTGTAGCGAAATGAGTATGCTACCAACATATGAACACATTTCTATCAGCGTTATAAGCATGTTGCAGCTTATGTTGAGTCTATCAATATTTTTTTACTTGCCTACCCCATATGATAAGAATTGTGGTTCGTTATAGCGGTAGAATTGAAATAACAGTCAGTTGGTAGCCGAATTATGAATGAGGTCGATGTTTATGAACCAGTCTGAAAGAAGTATTCTTTTTTTTTACTTATTTCTATGTACAAAATAGAACATATCCCAGACTATATCCACCACAGTCTGTGTTAAATAGACTACCGATCGATTACAAGAACTATAGGAAAAAGGTTTCTGTACGCCACAATTAACAATCATAGAAAAAAAGTAGCCTTTGTAGGGGTCGTAGCAGCTACAATATCCTCTTACCTAAGACTATTATTAACGTCAGGTTGTTAATTTAATCTCTTATTTTAAAGCGACGAAAGAAAATTGTTGATTGCTTGCTTCTTTTTCCTGGTGATGTCATATTGTTATACGCAAATTCAGGTCGTGAAATTTGATTTGCATATTTTTCATCCCGATATATGCCCCATAAATCGAACTCTCGATCTCAGACGTTATTTTCCTGAGGGTTGGAAGAAAGATAAACATCACATTCAAAACGTCCTTCTCGTTGTGCAAGTACGTTGCTTTTCCCTTTTCACGTATTAAAGTGGCTATAGTGTTTAAGTAGGTTCATTTAAATTTTTTGCACCATAATACTTTGGAGATTGTTTGATCAGTTGTTGTAACCCAATACGACCAGTGTAACCCAGTTGTTGTAACCCCAATTAAATGACACTTATAGTAGCATAATTTCGACATTTATATGAAATTTGAGGTATACAACCCTAGGGATGGGTAGTCGCAGGTTCGAAATCGAACTGAGTTCGGAGTTTTGCTCATGTGTCAACATTCCCATGGTTACATTTCACATCGTACCCTGCCATTAAAAAAGAATAAGCTGGAAATAGAAAGTAGAGGAACATTCGCTGTGTACAGTTGATTTTTTCAGCTAGCTATCCATTCATATATGTGCTATTTTCTACTTCTTTAAACCGTTGCAGCGACTGTTCTTCTCCTCTTTTGAATTTGATCCGGATTCATGTGCAAATCGGAACGCTGCCATAACTTGGAGAGATGACAAGACAAAGTTTAGGTTAGTGACTCACATTTTCGCTAAGAGAGCCTTTAATCCACGTTTATTGACTAACTCTAGATCTATAGCGAAGACATGTGTGAATCAAAGTCGAATGGAAGTTTACGGTCAACCCGAAAACGCCGACGATGCAAATGTCCTACGGTAAGGTCTTTATGTATTCAAAGAAGCTTTGAATTGACTTTCTTGTTTTCGACTGGCGCTCTTATTATCATCGATAAAGTGTCGCCTATTTGGTTTATACACAACTATTATACTTTCCGCGGGAAATATTTCTAGCTTGAAGTTTTTCCATGATCATGTGGAACGCATAAAAGTTTCACTGATTTTCTAAAAGTGGTGCATTAGGTGGGCACACAAATAAGCCATTTTGATGATACGTTCCTCCATATTTGGAGAACTTGTAGCTTTCGCTGCGGAGAGGCTGCATTACCATTTGGGATAGGTTGCATTGTATCCTTCTAAGTTTTCCACCTAAACTCAAATCTCTGGAGAACTAGTAATGCTTGTAGTCGGACCGTAGATATCTAATCTGTATATAACTGGGATCCTCAAGTGACCAGAAGCTAAAACATTTCGGAATTTTCCTTGGATCGTATTCTAACACATTCTTCCATGTGTTTTGTAACTTCCACTGTTTCCTCTTTTTGTTTTTTTTCTCATCTTCTATTTGTTTCTTGTACTTTTCTATGAATTTTTCAAATTTTCTCGAAATTTTCTGTGTACTGTATTTCTCCCAATGCTTATAAAACTACGATGACATACGTTTTAAGCCTTACGGGACCGTGCACAATGATCTTGATTTTAATCAGTACATTTTCTCCTGGTTTGTTTCGCCGTGCCGGGCTCTTTGCTATACTTTTTGTAGCCAATCGATAGCTTATTGAACAAAACTTTTATCATGGGGCCAAGCCATGAATAGGTGCTGTTAATGCGTTACCCTTGCGGAAAGTCGTTTTTGAACAATGGAATGGAATCGGTGGATATAAAAAACATAAAAGGGTCACAGAAGTACACTTCCAGGATCGCACAGAACTATCCGGGAAGCTAATAGTACTGTGGTTAGATAATGAAAGTTTTTTTACCACACTGATGTTATACTCAGGCACAGGAAGTGTACAAGAACATGGGACCATACACAGAAAAAGATAGTTAATCCGTAGATACGTAGAACTTGGTGAAGCACGAAAATTATATGATAGAATCGAATAACAGAACGGTAACCACAAAAAACCGGTACGCCGTGTATTTGGCGGAGCTCACAGCCGAGACATCTTGGTTTCAATGCACGCTCCGGTCGCCCTCCGGTGACTCTTGGTTGGGTGTGCTTGCTGCGCAAAATGGCAATACATTAGTGAAATTGGGAGTAGAAATTGAATTACATGTATTCAGAAACTAATTTTTCGCATACTAAATACTTGAAGAGTTGGAAACGTGATGGGACTATAAAACACGCTTTTGTCTGTCAATTTAGCTGTAAGAATGGTTCTTTAAAACTGTTATTTGGACAGTAAAGTCTCTTAGAATTGAAATTCGCAAAAAAAAATTGAAGAGGAGATTTAAATTTTAAAATTCCGAACGAAATCTGTCTGCCATAAACATCAAAAACACCTTTGGGTGAATCATCACCCTCTAATATGCGAAATACCGATTGTTCATTTACCTTCGATAAATCCACTTGCTCTGATGGAAGAAATCAGAGTTTTATCACGGTAATGCAAAAGAGGTTCTCTCTCATAGGCAAAGATTTGTCGATTCCAACACTATTTCAATCAATAAAGTTGACTTTGTTCTGAACCATGTTCATTTGAAGTTGGAAGTGGCGTTTGTTTTCGTTTGGTTTTAGGTTAAATCAAGTCACACCGGATCCATAATGTGAATTCGAAGCAGCTATAAATTGTTTCGTGTTGCGTGTGTTGCGTAGTGGTGGGAGCGGCTCTGCAATGCACATAGGATCTATTCCGCGCCCCTAGCTCACCAAGCATTCCATCCCTGCGCGGTCTGCAAATTGCCATCAGACTTGTTTGGGAGAACAGCAGCACTGGCTCGACACATCGATAGACCACCGCTGGTAAAGGCCAGATATGCATTCATTTACTTCCTGAGATGTTTGATGAAGTCGAATGCAAAGCGCATCCCTCAGGGATTGATCAAATCAACGCAGAGAGCTTTATCCTTTTTATCATTTTATAAATTGTTTCACTTTTTCTTGCGTCACGGTGTGCAGTAGTAAGACGATGTCCATTGATTTTTGTTAATCACGAAATTCTTACATTTTATTCATTTCGCAATTTTTAATTTCGATGCCTTTTTTTGCTCTCCTTTTCACTCGTCGGAGTTTCATGAGGTGTAACCACAGCATCGAACTTATGATTTGCTTTTTGAAGTTCTTTTGGTCTATCTTAATTTGTGAGGAGGCATAAGCAAAGGATCTCAGGAAATACTGATTTTAATTTGTATGGATTTAGTGAATCTACGTCTTCAGAAATTTCTGCACATGCCAATTCTCCTGTATCCACAATTTTTCGCATTTTCACTGAACACCTTTAGGTTAACTCCCTGGGATCCATCGCTCCATGAACAAGTACGCCATAGAATGATGTCACTTGGCAACTCTACAGGCAGTAAATTTCATTGGGAGAGAACTGACAAGCCGAGCTGTCACCATGGTGTTGGTTTATCGTGGGTGGACACTGACGCAATGACTTATATGACTGAACCTGTGAAGGAAGTAAGTTTCGTAACCATTTTAATCGTTAAGCAATAGAACGCATGTGAAAAATTCTTAAGAGTGTGCACGCATCCTGGAGACTGCGCTGAAAGTGGGTTTGGGTAAATTCCTGAAGGTTTAGGGAGCTTAAACTCTTAAAGGTGATGGTTGCTGTTTGCTTTTCTTTGAGAATGGCATCATTTCAATTATTCCTCTATTTTGGGGTAGCAAGATGCATCATAATCTGAGTTTTAGCTAAAGGTGAACATTAATAGTAACGCGTAACAGTTAAGTAACGAAGGATTGGGAACACAGTAAGCACTGTATGAGTAGCTCTACAGCGTTGTTTGAACACCTCAAGAACAGTGCGCGTTTCGAAGTTTTGTCTTGATCTGCTAGCGTAGCTCATTTCAGATCATGTTTTTATTTTTTAAGTAGCTTGTAAATAAATGCGGTTCAACGTTATAAAGGATAAAAAAGGATAAAGCTCTCGGTGTTGATCAATTCCTGAGGGATGCGCCGTGCATTCTACTTCATTAAACATTGTTAGAGGTTGTTGAATATATAGTTGGTCTGTACAATGTCTCACGATGGGCTACTGTTGTATTGAGTCAGTGCTGCTATCCTCCTGGAAGGGTTTGGTACCAACTCACCGATCCTGAATGGATGGAAGGCTAGACTAGCCTGGGGACGCGAGATTGTACCTATGTGTTTTTCAGGGTTGCTTTAACCACTACGCTACATGGACATCGTGTTACAAAGTTACAATAAGTTCATCTTACTCATCTGACTCTTAATATATCTAGCACATTTGTATGATTCGAGTTGTTTAGATCGAATTCTCCGACGTAAGAAATAACTACACTCGTGCTGATCATGATCGACTGATTTATGGCATCGAACGGCTTGATCTGAGTGGAGTGCAGCATGACCAAGCTGCGATTAGCGACCGCACTGATGTGATTTTTTTTTATTAGAGTTTTATTATAAACTGTGGTTTCTTGGAGACCCTAGTATGTAGTAGTGAGTACGCTTTTAAGGAAGTTATTGTGTAAAATTGTAGCATGACTTGTGCCTCATCAATCTCAAAAGTTCGAATATGGCACATAAGTCATAGATGAAGTGGGTTACTTGATGGATACAAACTTTTAGCTAAATTTTGCGCCACTTTGACAGGTAGTTCTGTGTTATTCGCAGCAGTTACATAAGATAATTTTCAATATGTAGTGGTGAAAACCTTGTTATTCTTTAAAAAGGTTTAGGCGACTGAATTTTCTGTTTCATTCCGAATTACTTGCCCAGTTACTTATATGGGTCGTGTTCACTGATTGTGCCCCCCAACACAATTTCCATTCGTTTCTCTTCCTCGTTAGTGCCGTCTATGGTGGTGGTCTCCTTCGAACATGGTAACCTTCGCTAGAACCATCTCTATCCCTGAAATCTTTTCCATCTGCAAATGCAGATTATTGACGTTGGGCACGAACCCATCCCCCTATAGCTTGGATGGTCGTCCTAAAAGACGCGTGCATTCTCTCGCAGTCTATTACAGTGTTCTTTTCATTCATCTATTATCACCTCTTCTTATAAAATGACCTGCCCATCTGTGCTTTGCTATCGATGTATATTCTCTTGGATTCCAAAGATGAGATGGACTTCGCAGATCTAGGTTGCGCGTTCCGACTAGACGTGAGTTTCGGTTAAATTTTAGAAGACGTCGTTCAACCGCTGTGTGGGTATCTAGAGTTCTTGACATATTGTAGTATCTGCCGACGTCTCTACTGCTAAAAACGTTGCTAGGAAGTCCGTTGAACTGAATAGGTAAGTGCGGATTCTTAGGTTCTTTAGTTGATCGGTGGTTTCTTCGATGGAGAGACCCGAATGCGACCCATGCTACTGTCCTTCTCCTGTCTAAATCTTTCTTCACGTTGTTATCCATGTTCACTGAACGTCCAAAGTACACATAAGAAATGGTCTTTGCATTCACAGTACTATCCAGTTCAACTTGTTCGCCTTCGCGCCATAGGTTCTTCATAGGCGAACTGGGTCTTCGTGCTATTTATGCGCAGTTAATCTTTTTCCTCGATTCGTTAAGTTCGCCGAGTATCCTCTCTGTGTCAGTGATTGTCTTCAAACAGATGACATTATCATTAGCAAGGCGAAGGTTTCATAGGAATGTTCCATCAATGTCTATGGTTTTTTTATCCCAATCAAGTGACTTCGTTATCCACTGCAGTGTGACAGTAAACAGTTTTGGCAACATTGTATTGCATTGCCGAACCGCTTTCCTTGTGGGTGTGATAAGGTGTCAATTAAAAAGCTGTATTTTCGTACTATATTCTAATAAGAGATGGAGTGCTTGTGTTGTACGAGTCCAGTGCTTACTCGGCGAGCGCTGATAGGATTAGATTCGTTTAAACTGTGTCAAACACTTTCCGCAG